CAGGATTGCATTGACAAGTACACTCCCGCCATCTTTGAATAAAGCCGGTGGTAGGCTGTCGGGACCAGGAGCTTTGTGGCGTTTCAAAGATTGGATTGCATCGCGGATCTCTGCTTCAGTTGGTCGGCCTGTGAAGACAGGCCAAATATCATCCGTTGGGGCTGGAGGTGCCACAAGGGGCTGTGTTAGGTGGTTGAATTGGAGAACGAAATGCTCTGCCCAGAGACTCAAACGCCCGTGAAGGTTGGTGATTTTCGTGCCGTCTGATTCGCAAATCGTCTGGCTGATAGCATGGGAAATGCAACCGGTGGCCCTGATGATGCAAAATAGATGGCGAAATTTGCCAGCTGACGCAGCGGCTGCCATCACATCAGCTCGTTTGACCATCAGGATTCACCACCAGAACGAAGGCTTGCTTTAAGTTGTTGCGTAATAGACCGGCGGTGTTCGTTGTGCTCTAGGCCAACAGGCCCCGCCAGTCGGCGATCCAGCAATCCCAAGAATCTTCCTGAGATCCAGCTTTTGGGAGTGCATCGAGTGAGGCCACAGTTGAACAAACCGGCTGACAGCAAGGCTTTTTGCAGACTTGACCAGCATTGATTAACATTCAGAGTGTGAGAGAAAGCGAAATTTTCACGAAGCAATTGTTGATACTCCTTCTTCACCATTGGATACCCCAGCTTGTAACTGTTCAATCGGGTGTGTTTGGACCTAGGGGTGAATCAACGAAACGTATGCAAACGGTTGTACATACCAGTGCATGATCGGTATCAACGCATGTTGACCAAAATGATCGGCAGTCGCGTACACTGCCGCGCATCCTGCGACTTATGACTAGGTGGTCAATCTGTGACTAGCGCTGGGTTGATGATGGGGGGGCGTCAAGTGGCGTATTGGCGTCCAGGGTGACGAAAGCTGGTGCTGGAGAGGAATAGCTGATGATCAGCACACAGACTGAGCAGTCTCTCTCCGTTGTCTGAGCGAACATCATCATATCCATGCGGTTCCCCGAGGTGGCGCTCACATGGCATCAGCCGACCGACACGCGCGTTGAAGTCTCCTGCCAAAAGAATGATGTTTGTCTTAGGAGCCCTTAGGAGCAGCTCATGAAGGTTCTGGTAGAACTGGTCCTCGACTGTGTCCGAGCTACAGTCAGTGGGCGCGTAAGCAGAGATCACGAAAAGAGCAGGGTTTTCGACTCCACGTCTGCTAACTTTACAAGAGCTATGGAGTCTCATCGCACAAAGCCGACTATTGAGCGGAATCCAATCAATCAGAGCAGCCTTGGCTCCAGCACTGAGGGCGATTCCAACACCAGCTTGCCCATATGCGGCAGACTCGGCGTCACCAGAGAGGCGGAGATGGAAGCGGGTGCATGGGTGGAGTGGTGACGCTAGCTGGTAGACCGAATTGGAGTTCTGGAGTAGCGTTGCACTTATGCAGCAGAATTGGATTCCAAGGGTCTCTAGCGTGCGTGCAAATCCAGCTTGTTGACCAATCTGCAGTAATGTGCGTACGTTGAAGGCTGCTAGTTTGAACTGCATTCTGGGTTGCAGGAGCGAAAATGGGAGACTTAGGGTTTCGTCGAAATCGAGGCTGCATAGGCCACATCTTCACATTACCTTACGTGTTGGAGCACCGCCATGTTCAGTAACGACCCACCGTAGTTGTGTACTTAGACAACAAAGGGGCCCTTGATTCTGTTGATCAAGGTGCTCTTTGCCTAATGAGGAAAGGTGTGTCCGAGAAATATGTAAATGTCATAAGAGCGTCGTAAGCGCACAGTTCGGGCAGTGTGATGGCTTCCGGCAAACTTTCGCCGCCGTTCAATATCTCCAGCGGTATGAAACAAGGTTGCCCGCTATCATCTTTCCTCTCTAACTTCGCCATTGGTAAAGTCATGGAAACGGTGTTCGCCAGGAGCTACTCCCAAGTGACCGACTTCTTGACTTGGAATATGCAGACGACATTGCGTTCATTTGTGACAGCTCCCAAAAGTGCCAAGCTCCACTGGATAAATTAGCTTTGGATGTCAGTATTTCGGGCTATGTTTTGCACCCACGAAATGCAGTCCTTCCCCAAGATTGGCAGGGACTGCCTCCTGCGCTGACCATCGGTGGTGATCAGCTAGAAGTCGTCCAGAAATTTAAGTATTTGGGCAGTTATAGTAGCGCTCAGGGGACTGAAGACGAGGTCACAAACTGTATAACGAAATTTCGGAGTGCGTTTTGCCTATCTCTGCCACCTGTGACACCGGCATGACATCACTCTCACTCTGAAAGGCAACCGTCCGTTCAACTCTCCCATACAGTTGCGAAACCTGGCCAATTAGACAAGTCGACGTCAGATGACTAGTTACGTTCAACCATCGCTGCCTTCGAATAATAGCTCATGTCTGGTGCGAGCATTGCGTGAGCAATGAGCGTGTTCGGCGTCGTGTATTTGGTTCAGGAAGAGCCAGTGAACCGCTCAGCACCGTTAATATCACGCCCCAGGCTCCGATGGCTGAGCCACGTGTTGCGCATGCTAGCCCACCGACTCCTGCGACGTGCGTTGTTTACGCGCCGGGGTGTGGATGGAAGAAGAGGAGGGATGGCTAAGCGATGAACCGGTCAAGAGGAATGAAGACCCTTAGTTCGAACTTGACGTCGGTTGGTGTTTTCCGACTGCTTGGCTGGGGACTGAAGGACGATGTACACGTCTGGTTGAATACAATAGTTGACAAGGCGAAGAGCCGATCTCAATGGCAGCAGTGTTGTGAGTCTCTTTGTCCCTCCACTCTCTTTTAGCTTCCCCTTCCAACAACGATTTCAGCACTGTGCATAGCGTGATTTTAGCATTATGGTACTTGTAGCTTAAGTAGTCTGTAATGCATAAGCTCTTAACTTTTGTATGGCGACACACTAGATGAAGTGTGTTTTTCACCCTCAGCTAACGTGCATTATATATATATATATATATATATATATATATATATATATATATATATAATGTTCGTTGTTTATCATGATGATTAGCAATGACGTTCCCAGCAGGAAGCGGACTCATCATTCCAAACTTCTCGATCCCAGAGAAGTTAGTGCTCTAGCACAGAGAGTATAAAACAAGCGACGGAAGCAGCAGGAGTACATCTGCCTTCGTTAACCCGAACTCTTGCTACGATATAATCATAATGGCTTACTAGTATGCAGCAACAATACAAGGGGACCCAGTGTGGCCAAGTCGGGACCAATAAGTCAACAGCACCTAACCATAAGCAACGAGCCATCGCGTGAAGGTAAGATGGCGCTGGCGGTACAACCACCACGCAGCATTCGGTGTGAGATGTCAAATTCAACCTTACCCAGCAATAAAGGATAAAGCTACATAAACACTTATGAGTAGATGAATTCAGGTGTGATTTTATTTGATCCATCGCAATCAGATTACAAGCCGAAAAGGTGAGCTACCAATCATGAAAAGCACCAGACGGTCGTTTCATCATATTGGGAACGATGTCCGGCCATTATACTGGCTAGTGGTGCAAGTCACTAGCGGCCATGGGTTGTATCCCACACAGGAGGAGACCGAGGGAATGCGTGCCATTAACGAGCCCCAATAAGGCGAGACGAACGTCTGGTGCCATTCCGGATTAGTAACTCATTTTTGCGGCTTTTAATCTAAATGTCAGGAACCAAATAAAAGCATCTTGAACAGTCAACCCAGCTAAGATACTACTGTGTCCATGTTCACGGATATCGGTGGTGAACTCCCTTGTAAAGACTGGAGACACATGCGTCTGCCGTGTAACCCACAGGTCACTGGTTCGAAGCTGGGTAGGCACCAGTGAATGTGTAGTATCCCAGCTCACAATTGACTGTTGGCGACTATGTGACAAGGAGGCGTCAGCATGAAGCACCAGTATACTGCTGATGCCTTTAGAGGATGTGACGCATGAGTCGTCATGAGAACGAAATGAAGGTCATCATCAGTACGCCAGTACGCAGTAGTGCTGCCGCGCAACTACCACCAGTAGCACGTGAGCTAAGGATACGGTGAGGGTCACCCCCGGTCCCCACGTAAAGTCGAACCCGTGCCTTCGGATTACAAGGCAGGCTTGTGATCTCTTAAGACTACGTGCCGGTGTCATCATGAGGATCAATGAGAAGAAGAGTAGGCAAAACGAGTAGAAAATCAAAATCCTTGCTCGCATGAAACAACCAGAAGTGATTGATGGTGGAATGCAAAAGCACCACTGAGTTCATGTCTCATAAAGTTGCAAAGGATTGGAAGCAAAAATAAGCCGATGTCAGTGGAAGGATGCAGTAAGCTGAACGATTGAATCGACAGTCCAGAGCTACCTCCGGAGTCATCTCAACTCCCCCGCTGTCTTGCGGGTCAGGTATTTAGACCAAAGGCTCGGGGTGGGGTCCATTAAGTCAACCCTCTTCCTCGGCCTGGGTAACCAGGAAGCTCAATGCTCACATAACACATGGAACTTTGCTTCCAGTCCTCTTACTCTCTTTTTTGTTATTGTTACTCATATGTTGTGGCACTCTGCCAAATGTTTATTGGGCAAGTGTTAAATACAAATACATAAATGCATTTCAACTCAGGAAACTGAGAACGCAAATCAACACAAGCCTAACATCTTACACACCACAGCCACGATCACAGGAGGAGAGGCGTTCTGGCGGGAGTGAAATCTCCCAGGAAAATCTGTTTTCATAAAAAGACGACTTGAGCCAATAATGTACAGCAGATGGGTTAGATCGTTTCAAGCCCATGACGTGACACATGTACCTACTCTCCATGGGTCGGAGCGGATCTAAACTGATAACCTTAATACCATTTTGCTGTACCAAAACTAGGTCCCTGAGTTGCACTACTTAAACCGTTTCGGCAGTTGACATGGGAGTAGATGTTGGTACCGTTGCTGACTTCTGGTTTTTGTTGGAATTGGAAGTTGCGGGGAACGAGATCGCTAGATCGGAAAAGCAAACGGAGAAAATCTAACTCACGCGTAAATCCTCTCGCACGATCAAATCCAGAAGTTCCTCGTGGTTCAAGCAGAGAAATTCCTCATACTCCACCACAAGTTCAAAGTTGTGTGCCGCGTAATTCCGAGCGAATTTCTCCAACTCGGCACAGCTGTGAAGCTCGGCGAAGCGTCGGATACCAAGCACGTTGGAAGCGTCTACTTCAGCTAACAAAAAGCTAGAACAGGCCACTTTAACACCTTCCATTTGAACAAGGCTAGCAGCGGGAAGCAGATCCTGCACGTTTTCCATAGTGACGTGGACTTGGCCGGTGTACACGTAGTCCAGTAATGCATCCATGATATCTGGAGAGATGGATTTGAGTTCAACTTCTAGCTGAGCGGACTCAGCCATCTGCAAGGCATCAGATAACGAGAGAAAAAGTAGAAAGAAAGTGAGCCGAGCTACGAAAAACAACAGAGAGTAACCAATGAAGATAGATGGACAGATACATCAGACGGCACTTACACCGTTGGAAAACATAGCGTTAAAGTAGTCGCTTGTAGCTGCGAGGACAACCCGATGAGCCAAGAATTCTCTTCCCCCCACTTTGATGACCACGTCGCACAGATGACCGCGTTTACGGAACGCGTTCATCTTTGATAACGCCAAGAGTGAGTAAGCATCACCTGTGCAGGGAGGAGATAGAAAAAAGTCCATCAGTTCAGGTTCCGTGGAACTAAAAAGCGGAGGGAGGTTGGTGTGGTACAGACTGGTTGAAAAACAGTGTTGCGAGGAGGCTCAGGTACAGTGAATGAAGTTCAGTACAATTTGGTTCAGCCGAACAACTACGATCCACGCACCGAAGGTTTGTTACGACAAAACCACAATGGCTCCAAGCAGTGTAAAGCTTAAATACTCTAGGCAAACATTCGTGGTAGAGTCACCAACTATCTGTCAACAGAATTTGATCGTAAACAATCGGCATAGTGTGTATCGGTGATACAACCAGTTGCAAAGACTCACATCACCAGAATAACAATAGCTAACAACGGTTGAATGCAAATAGAAGGTAAAGAAACTGAAATCAAGGATGTACATTAACTTATTTGGTATATGCAAGAAATCGAATGCAGACACGCTACTCACTGCGCAACGGTGTTTGTCCGAGCCCATGGTAATCAGAGGATTTAAAGTCACCTAGCTGTCGGCAAGAACAATCAGGTTTTTAACCAGGTCGGGGAAAAGGATAAAAGTGCCGTAAATCTGCTGTCATAAGTACGTACATTTCCAGGGCATCATTGACAAAGTCAGCAGGACAAACTACTGCCGGATAGCCCAAAGCGAGACATTAAAATAGCGCAGTCATTTCGCTTGAGTGCTATACTGCGACAGTAGTGTGGCACTACTTTGGTTTGCACAACCAAAGACTGTTCCGTATTGTGCCCAGCTGCCTCCGCATCTTACATTTATGTACCTTCATGACAGTAATTGTTCACTTGATAAAAATCCTAGTTGTCCGCTGCACGATACTTGTTCGAATGAAGCTGTTTCCGATACTGCTTTCGTTCTGGTCCGTGGAGCTGGACCAGTAGTTATTTTCGACCCCGATTCTCATTCAGTCTTGCATGGAATGAATAACGGTCACTTATGCAGATTAGGCAACAGGCCATGTGTAGTGATTATCCCGGAGACCCTAGATACTGTTGTCTGATGTCTTTCTAAACCACAGTGTATGACCCCAGTATTGTGCTAAAGTTGACATCACTACTGACCATTAAACTACATATTAACGGCACTTCGTTGCCGTGCGACAACCATCAGGCGCACGTGGGCTGAGTATACTGCGAAGACGCCCACCCCTACACGGCGGATTCGAACCTGTGTTGCAAAATCACGAGACAAGCCCATTACCTCTAGGATACATATTATGTGTGTCCTTTGGGTGACCCAGAAGTGGCAGTAGAAGCTGGTATGACTGGTGTGGGCGTAGCACTAGGTATAAAAGCCTTCACACCGCCCGACTGGGTCCCAATTATCAGCCGACTGGGTGCAGTTGGGCTTCAGCAAATGTCCCGAGAAGACATGCAGCTTGTTCGTGACTCCCGTGAGCGTTCCAAATGATTGCAGATGTGACTCGGACAAGAACAAGTTTAAACTCAAGAGCAGAGTTTGCAAATCCGATAACATTGTTCATGGGTGAGACTTCAATGCATGGGTCGGTCGCCTGTTACCGTATGGATGGAAGCTTGGTGGCTATCACCAATCTACCAGAATATGCAGCCGGAGAATCTCATCTAACCTCTCCACCCCGTCGACAGCAGCCATCCATTTTACTTTTCTCCCTCGCCCAACGCTCTTCTTTCCCGTCCAGTAGTCAAGAGACTCGCTGAGTTCGCACCTATTGTCAACGATACATGAAACTGGTTCCTTAAACCAAGGATCACATTTCACATTGGATTGTTTAACGTTCGCATAATATGTCTGATCGACCAACAAGCAACACTCAGTCTTCTTGACTTTCTCACTTGGAGTAGGCTGGTGATAATTCCCACATATTTGACGGCTCACAAATGTGCCAAGCTGCAATGAACAGATTGGTAGTAGCTGTCAGACGTTGCGGGTTATGCTTTGCATCCTGGAAGTGCAAAATTTTCCTCCAAGATCGGTAAGGACAGCATCCTGCGCAGACCCTCGATGGGATAAGCTAGAAGTCGTTCGGAAACCTAACTACCTAGGCAGTTGTATCAGCGTCTGTGGAATGGAAGAAGAGGTCATAAACTGAATAGCAAAAGCTCGGGGCGTTTTTGTTAACTTTCGCCAACTACGGCGTCGGCGCGACCACTTTTCGCAGTTTAGCTCATATCAGGCGGGAACACCGTGTCAGCAATGAGCGCGTCCGACACATCGTTCAAGGTACGGGAGGAAGAAGCAAACCACTCGGCCCCGTTATATCACGCACTAGCCTCCGATGGATATTCCAAGTGTTGCGTATATCAATCCACCAACTCTCGCGGCGTGCGTTGTTTGCGCGACGGGGATGTGGATGGAAGAAGGAGGAGATGCCAAGCTATGACTTGGTCAAAAGGAATGAAAATCCATAGTTCGAAGCAGGCCTCGGTTGGAGCCTCTCGGAACCCTGGCTGGAGTCCGAAAGACGAGGAACACACGGGGTTGGACACACTTGTTAACAAAGCTAGGAAACGACCTCAGTGGTGTTCGTGTTGTAAGTTTCTTTTTCCCTTCCCAACCAGCTTAGCCGCTCAACCAACCACGATTTAAAGTAATATGCATAATATGATACATTTCAGCTGTTAGCTCTCCGGAAAGATGTCCATCATCTACCGGTGACTCAGAAGGCGTGTCTATGCATTCCCTTCTTTTCTAATTCAATGCAGCACAATAGCTGAGGAGTCTTCAAACTCTAGCCAACGTGAATAATGATGACGAATGATGATGCGCACTTGCTTACAGATTGGACAACAGCCAGCACTTCCCCGAACAGTGGAGACCCAATCGATCAAGATCTGTAGTTTATTGGAAACCCCCCACCCGCAAGATTCGAGCTGTGTCTCCTCTGAGATCCCATTTGTGACTCTGACAGTACTTGCTCACTGGGGCGATATCTGCTTCGGGATTTTCAAATGGATTAGAACGTTATATATATATATATATATATATATATATATATATATATATATATATATATATATATATATATATATGTGGTTGGCGGCATCCCGTTTCGGATTGGCCTGTCACTGTGGTCAGCCACAGAACGCCTGCGCCTACAGAGGGACTATGGGTAGCTTGCGCTGCAACACACACAGCTCCACCCACACGCCCCATATCCAGTGTAAACCCGAAGGAATAAGACCGGGAGCCACGTGGATGAGAGCCACGTTTCATCAACGGAGCCGGCCCACATTCCTTCACAGGCAAACACAACCACGCTGTATTTGTAAAATCAAACGCACATAAGGCGGTGGCTGGACCGTAGTCCGCTCCACAATGAGTGCATGGAACCGCTCTTTGAGCCTAGTACGACCACAAGGACCGTGCACCCCGTCCCCTCCAGCAACCACCAACTGTCCCCTGCAGCCAGTATGAATGAGGTAGTGGGTAATAGACAGGTAGGCACCTTGTCAACATGCACATTAAACGCAGACACACCCGGGATATCAAGCAACTGCAATTCACTTGAAACGACAAGATAAAATAAAATAAATCCAATAATGCACACAGATACAGTGGCATTACTCTTCGCTAAATAAACATATGAAGTAAGTTGGTTACCAACGAGTCCGCGATAAGGAAAAATGTCCACAAGTTACTGAAAAACGCTACAAACGCAACTAAGTTACCAAAGAATTCGCAATTAGCGTAAGCAACGTGGCCAGTTAATAGAAGATTATTCAGGTAGGCAGAACAAACCAAATAAATTGGAATGATATTTATCCAGCTTAAAAAGACCTAGTTTACGTATAAATTGGTTTAGCCCAACTGCGGTGAAGAAGCATCAAGAATGCAACATCAGCCTCAGCATGGGGCACACATACATACATGGTTGGCGGCATCCGGTTTCGGATTGGCCTGTCACTGTGGCCAGCCACAGGATGCCTGCGCCTACAGAGGGACCATGGATGGCTTGCGCTGCACCACCCACAGCTCCAACCACATACCCCATATCCAGTGTAAACCCGAAGGAATAAGACCGGGAGGCATGCGGATGGGAACCACGTTTCATCAACGGAGCCGGCCCACACTCCTTCACAGGCAAACACAAGCACGCTGTATTTGGGGAATCAAGCGCACACAAGGCGGTGGTTGGACCGTAGTCCGCTCCACACTGAGTGCATGGAACCGCTCTTTGAGCCTAGTACGGCCACAAGGACCGTGCACCCCGTCCCCTCCAGCAACCACCAACTGTCTCCTGCAGCCAGTATGAATGAGGTAGTGGGTAATAGACAGGTAGGCACCTTGTCAACATACACATCAAGCGCAACCATACCAGGGATATCAAACAACAGCCATTCACTTTAAACGACAAGCTGAAATAAAATAAATTTAATAATGCATACAGATAAGGTGGCATAACTCTTCGCTAAATTACCATATGAAGTAATTTGGTTAGCAACAAATCCGTGATAAGTAAGAAATGTCCACCAGTTATTTAAAATGCTACAAACGCAACAAAATTACCGAAGATAAGCGCAATTAGTGTAAGCAAAGTGGCCAGTTAATAGAACATTATTCAGGGAGGCAAAACAAACCAAATAAAGCGGAATGAAATTTAGCCAGCTTAAAAAGACCTAGTTTAAGGGTAAGTTGGTTTATCCCAACTGCGGTGAAGAAGCATCAAGAATGGAACATCAGCCTCAGCATGGGGCATATATATATATATATATATATATATATATATGTATATATATAGGCTAGTGTTCTGGAATAGGGACAATTTATTAAATCCACTTGACTCGTTGCTCGAGTTACATCGTAGTTAGTAACTAGTTGTAAGCTGGCTCCAGCGGACGCGAACTCGGCGAAGGTAGTTCCATGTTGGCGATGAGTACTGGTTGATCGATTGCTGCCAGTGATTCCAGTCTGAAAGTCACACTTATTACAGCTTGTTAATACCTAGTCTAAGCACAACGGAGTTGAGCATGGCGTTATAAGTGATTAGTAGGCA